GGAAAGACAGACGGGATCCCACCAGTAGAGATGATCTAGGGAAGGAATGGCATAGTGGGTTCATGGAAAGTTGGAAAGACAGACGGGATCCCACCCATAGGGGACGGGCTAGGGAAGGAATGACATTTTGAAGACTTTCAGGCTTTATTTTTTCATAGTGGGTTTTGAAGTCTTCTCTTTTTTCACTTTTGCCTAACCAGTTTTCTTTACCCAAGTACCGTTTTCAGTGGAGGAAAGCCATTAAAGTGTTAAACATTGTGACAGGAGAGGTGACTTACTCCAACTCATTGTCTTATGCAGCTGCTTTTGTGCAAACATGACTATGTCATTTTGAAGTAAGTCTTATGTTTTATTCTCTTCGTTAAAAAACTTGATTCTTCAATGACTTTATTCATTCTCCCCGGGATTACTCAGTGTTTACTTTCTTTGCTAATGGCAGGGTTCTCAATACATGCCGCTTCTTGTTCTGAGATTTGGCAGATACAGAAAGGCTGCTTTTTATTTCCCTCAAATGTGTGAACTTTTATGGAAACAAAACCAGTTTTTTTTAAATGAAAGAACTTTAGGTACTTGTTTTTGTCTACACTATTATATTTACCTGTTTAGTAATCTTTAAGTTGGCAGGTTCTTCAATATGCTTGTATGGGAGTTAAAAAGTGTTATTTTTAGAGATCTGTCTTTTCCTGTGTTATCAGTGGATTTATTGCTCCTGTAATACATGGAAGGGAGCTATGCTCACCACTAGGCCACCAAAATGCTTATTCCTGTAATAAATGCAGGATTATTATGAGTGATCATATGGATGGCATGTGAAAAACATTAAAGAATTTCCTAGTAATTTCCAGAGATCTGAGCATGCAGGTAATGGTAGCTGCCTTTCTAGGGTATAGACTACAAAGTGCTATGAACCTCTAAGTAGATTTCCTAGGAGGTCACCATGAAAATAAGAGCACAGATTGCCATTTACCTTTCTGAGATTAATGGCATATTTTCAAAGAGTTCTTATATAAACAACTTGCCAAGTAGTATTCAAAATAATTTGAGCTCAATTTAGAATCTCCAATATGTGGAAACAACCTAAAGGCCCACCAACCCAGGAATGCATGAACAATCTGTGGTATGTGTGTACTATAGAATACTATTCAGCCATTAGCAAAGATGGAGACTTTACATCTTTTGTATTAACCTGGATGGAGTCGGAACACATTCTTCTTAGTAAAGTATCACAAGAATGAAGAAGCAAGTATCTAATATGTTCAAAACCAATATGAAGCCAGTAGATAAGCTAATACATGCCCACGCACCAAAAAACTCAAGTCAAAGTGGGGTGAGGGGGAAGAGAGAGAAGGGTGTGCTTCCACTTAAGGGGCCCAGTGTTAGAGGGTGTATGGCCACCTCTTGGGGGTGGGACACAATTATAGGAGGGACTCTACCTAACAAGTGCAAACATTGTAACCTACTTCTTTATGCCCTCAAATTAACCTGAAATTAAAAAAAAGAACAAACAAAAAATAATTTGCATTTCATTCCTCCCGTACTACCTCTGAACTCTCCCATTCTCTCTCTCTCTTTCCTTCCTTCCTTCCTTCCTTCCTTCCTTCCTTCCTTCCTTCCTTCCTTTCCCTCCCTCCCTCCCTCTCTTTCTTTCTTTCTTTCTTCCTTTCCTTCTTTCCCTCCTTTCCTTCCTTTCCCCTTCCCCTTCCTTCCTTCCTTCCTTTGCAAACCAGGTGTTAGAGAATCTTCCTTTTGTAAGGCGATCTATAGATTCTTACCCAGTGATTTGGGGGGATGGGCACCAGTTTGAGGGGAAGGCATTGCTATTTCCATATTTGTTTCTGCATTCTACAAATGCTTTGTTTTTGAGATCACAGCTTCTCGACTGGCTTCTGGTCTTGAGTGATGTCCAACTTTCTTATTTTGTCAGTTTTGCCACATGGAATATTTGAGGAGTCTTTTCCCTTTTTATGTAGATAGACCTAACTTCAAAGTATCCCCATGGTTTAGGGTATCTTGTTAGTCTCACATATTAGAAAGAGGTGAAGTGTGGTATATGAAAGTGAGATTGTGTATATGTACGTGTGTGTGTGTGCACATTAAGCACACACGGTGCTTGTGAAGATATAACCTAGGGCTTATTTTGGCCATTCATTTATGATTCAAATTACTAACTTACAGGTGACGCCTGTGGCTCAAGGGCAGGGTGCCAGCCCCATATGCCAGAGGTGGTGGGTTCAAGCCTAGCCCTGGCCAAAAAAAAACCCACAAAAAAAAAAATTATTAGCTTACCAGCCTACTTACCAACTTATCAGTATTTATTTTTTGAGGATTGACTGTGTATATGTCACTCTGTATCTCAGGCAAAGGATAAAATACAAAACTTTAGTAATACACGGTACTTACTGTCTCTGAGTTAACTAGTTGAGAGAAACAGGATGTGCATGTCCACTAAACAGTTAATTAATAGGATACTCTTACACGTCCTTGTTCTAAGTGCCTCATTGCCATGGCTCAGACCAGGAACCACAGGGACTGGAGGGGACAGAGAGAGAAATGTGGGCTGGGAAGATCAGATAGGCCCCAGAGAGGAGGTGGGACTTGATCTCTTCTTGGGAGGTAGAGTAGAGTTATGGAAGACAGCAGTGATGTGAAAGGGCCTGGGGACTTGGCCTTGAACTAGTTACAGAGTTTTTGTGTTTGGGGAGATGCTGAGAGGATGCTGGTTGGATTGGAGAGGTGCTGTTAGAGTAGTGGAGCCTACATCAGTTTATGGGGCACATACTCATATGTTATTCTGACTATAAGACATTTGTGGACCTTGTTGAAAGTCGTGTCTGTTCAAATCTTTATATTTGCCTTGTCATATTTGCTTTTGACACACACACAAGGTTCTGAGAAAAGTAAGCAATATTAAATTTTGATGAACTGTCTATTTTAATGTAGGCTTAGCATTAATATTTGCAGACACTATGATGTAAATAAGTACATCTATAAAGATAATGTTGAATTGTCACATGAGAAGACTTAACACAGTGAATTTTTTCCTAGGCCGGACCTGATAGACATGAATACTGTTGCTGTTCAAAGCAACCTTGCAAATTTAGAGCACGCTTTTTATGTAGCAGAAAAAATTGGTGTCATAAGACTTCTGGACCCTGAAGGTGAGTTGTTTTCTTGACTGTATGTGGACGGGCATGAACGTCTAATCCAAAGTAATCTATCAGCAGCATGAAATAATTTATGGTGCTGTTTCTAGATGTTGATGTCTCCTCACCTGATGAAAAATCAGTCATAACTTACGTGTCATCCCTCTATGATGCATTTCCCAAGGTCCCTGAGGGGGGCGAAGGCATCGGTGCGAATGTGAGTATTGATTTTTCTGTTCTAGAAGCTGTTGATTCATTAATGACTAGTTCCCTGAATTCTTTCATAGTTGGTGCTTTTGCAGTTTTTAAATACCAAATGTATTTTAAAGAATTTGATTAACATGCTGATTAATAAACTGATGCTGGAGTGGCGCCTGTGGCTCAAAGGAGTAATGCACTGGCCCCATATGCCGGAGATGGCGGGTTCAAACCCAGCCCCAGCCAAAAACTGCAAAATAAATAAATAAATAAACTGACACTGTACATGGCAGCATCATTCCACCATTAAAACTAAAGTCCTGTGTCATAAAGAGATTATTTAGTGTTATAGGTCATTTTATAAATAAAAGCTGTATATTCTAAAAATTGGGAGATTTTCATTTTTAGCTTGTTGTTTTACAACTGCTGTTTGCTATATATAGAATATCTCACTTTTGGAAACACTTTTAAAAGTGAAATTAACTTATTAACGCATATGATCCCATGAAATCAGTAGGCTAGAAATTATTTTTCAGATTTAAAAGAGGAGTCTAGACGAAAGTTATAATTGGATTTGGCCAAGTTAACAGAGCTACTTAGCAAACTGGTCAAGATCTCTGACGTGGAGCTTTGGGCTCTTTATTCATTCCCTGTTTTTCAAAGGTCCCTGTAATGGATTGAGTTGTTCAGTCACGTGTTCTGTAGTGCTCATGCTGCCAGGCACTCACTCGTCTCCGGGAGAGGACAGGAGGCACCGTCTGGGTTAGATGCGGGGTCTCTCTCCACCTTGCAGATACGTTTTTTATATGTTACTCTGAAGGTGTTGGAGCTCATCTTGGATTTGCTCCCTGGGATCGGGATTTCCCTTCTCTGGTCTCCGTCAGCTCTGTGTGCTGGACCTCTTTCCATGTTCTCCTCTAGCTCCTTCTCGCAGAGGTCTTAGCATCTTTGCCCCTCCGAGCACCTCGGAGCATCTTTGCCCCACGCTCGCCCCGCAGGAATCAGTGCAGAGTGTTGCTTCAGAAGGCTTCTTCCAACCATCTCTTGCTTTCTCTTCTCTCTGCCTCCACCCACTCCTGCCTCTCACCACTCTACAACGAGAGGGACAGCTTTCTTATGTCTTTTATCTCTATTTTTTCCCCTCTACCCACCACCTCTGCACACTGTTGTCCAATTAATCTTATGACACCTGATGTCTTTAGCTTGGAAACTTTCAGTAGCTACATATTGCTTACAAGGTTAAGTCTGATTTAGGAATCTGATATTCAGAATTCTGCATGTATTTATCACTTGGCTTACCTACATTTTTAGCTGTGACCCAGCATGAACTGTTTACTGGTAGCTGGGACACTTCCTTGTCAGTGTCCTGTCTCATTTGGACTCTCCTGTCTTTCATCTGCTCTCTCCACCACCCCTCCCTGCTAACAATCACTTATGATAATAGCAGAACTGCTCAGAGATGACATTTCCCAAGAAGCCTTTGGTGATTTCGAGGCACATATAGGCTTACCCGATTCTTATCTTGACTTCTAGCATATACTACTTGTTTCTTTATTTCAACATGTAATTAAATACCGCTTTTAATTTTGCTTAACTGTTTCTGTATCTCTCTTGCCTCCCCATGTAGATAGTAGCTCCTTGACAATAGGCATTGTGTCTTAAAGTATTATTTTTATATAATCACAGCAGTTTTGAATCTAATAAGCATTCGTCAAATACTTAATTGAGCAAAGTAGTTGACAGCCTTCCACTGTTCTCCATTTTTAAAATGTTTGCTAAATGAGTATTTCAGTAATCCCACTGTCTACATTTCCTATAGTTTTCATTCCTATCCAGTTTTCAACATATTGTGAAACTCTTTTGAGTTTCAGATGTGCGGTGCACTTAGATCTAAAATGGTTGGCAGTGGCTCGGCACCTGTTGCTCAATTGGCTAAGGCGCCAGCCACATACACCTAAGGTCGCGGGTTCCAATCCCCAGCCTGGGCCCGCCAAACAACAATGATGGCTGCAACCAAAAAATGGCCAGCGCTGTGGCGGGCGCCTGTAGTCCCAGCTACTTGGGAGGCTGAGGCAGGAGACTCGCTTGAGCCCAGGAGTTGGAGGTTGCTGTGAGCTGTGAGGCCATGGCACTCCCCCCAGGGGGATAGCTTGAGGTTCCGTCTCAAAAAAAAAAATAAAAAAAATAAAAAAAATAAAATGGTTGGCAGAGATGGCAACTTACTTGGCTTATACTACCTTTTTTGAACCATGGCAAATATCTAACTTGGCCATGGTTTTTTTGTTTGTTTGTTTGTTTGTTTGTTTTCCAGCTATACTTGGATACAGCCTCAGAAGCCTTCTCAACAAAGCGTCCCCTGGGGACTGAGAGGCAGCCATTATCTTAGGACCAGAATTGGCCCTCATTGGGCTGGTGTTAGTGGCAAAATGTTGATGATGTTTTTAAAGCTGTTTATGTGGAAGGGATTGGGGTGGGTAGAAAGTAAGAAAATACTTAACTGGTTCCCTCCGTCAGGCTGTAAGACACCTAAATTCATAGAGTGAGTTGTGACTAAATCGTGTTAGATATCAATGTTGTTATCTACAGAGATGCACCTTTTCTGTCATTTCATTGTTCTAGGATGTTGAAGTCAAGTGGATTGAATACCAGAATATGGTGAACTACCTCATCCAGTGGATCAGACACCATGTCACCACCATGTCGGAGAGAACGTTTCCAAATAATCCTGTAGAACTAAAGGTCAGTGTCACTGTGGACGTTCCGGAGGATCACCTTGATTGTAAACTGTTAAATAGTGCTATAATAATTTTGTAATTTTAGAAGCTGAAGAAAAGTTGCCCTTAGCAAGCCATCAATAAATAGAAAATAATTTTCATTTCTTCATCTCTCTGTCGTACAGAGGAAATAGAGGCAAATATTAATAATGAAAATAGTGTCTCAGAGACATTCGTAGTTCTGTAGCTTCGCTTTGTTGAGCGTTTCAAGGTCTAATTTGAGAGTCTTTGGGACTGAGATGGCCAGATCATCTTTGGTGCATGGGAAATGCTTGGAGCCCTCTGGATGGCGGGCTGAAGGGCCTCTGAGAAGGACACACAGTGTGACAGGGGGTAGGAGCACGTGTGGTTCAATTCTGTTCAAAACCCCAGGGAAGACTTTTGTATAGCAAGAGGTTCGTGCTGTATTTTGCCATGAATTCGAAAATACCCATCTCACTTCCGGTATAAGTGAATTCATGTTTAGTAAAACATTTGTTAATACTGTAAAACTTAAGTTAAGCACTTTGAGGCAAAGAGATTATAGAAGTATAAAAGATGTTATAGATAAGTAAGTTTGTCAAAGAATAAATTGTTTCTTTTCACTTTTAGATTTATAATAAAGTCATCTGCTTTGTTTCTAGATGCCAGTAATGTGAACATTGATTACAAAGCCTTAACTCCTTGCTTTGTAAGCTTTGTTTTCCTGATAAAACTGAAATTGAAAAGGACTGTCACGTGGGTGGGCCCCGTTGAAGTTATTTATTATGTTTCTGCATCCTTAGAGAACATCTGTGGAGCAGTTCTTATTTCCATGACCAGAGGGAGTTTGTTCTTGGCACGAAGCTATTTGGCACCTGATGACAGGATACTTTTTAAATGTTCTTATATTGTTTATGTGATGTTTCCCTAAATGGTTGTGAAACTTTCTGGGGGCAGGAAAGCTCTTCTTTTCTACCACCACATGGTGCCACGAACAGTGTCTAACACACAGTGGTATCCAGTGCTTAGTGACCAGTAGACATCCTAAGATCCCATTTTGAGTTCAAGCCAATTTCAGATTTCCTGTTCAAACATACTTATTTCCAAATGGATTGCTGTTGTCCAGACCCTTGGGTAAACTCACACTGGCTTGTGATTAGCACAAGATTCCTAAAGTTGTGGAAGAACTCAGAGTGATCACACAGACTCCTTCTTGGTGCCTAAGCTGGGATATACAGGAGAGAAAATATGATAAAGGCAAGGTTTGTGTTAGCACAACTTTGAATGAAGGCCTTTCAGAAATGTGTCTGCTTGTAGATTTATAGGGTTTTGTTTTAAAGCAGCATAAATTACGATGAAATAATTAGTATATAGTTATTAAACATGGAGATGTTTTATCTACATAATTTTTATGACGGTCTTTTAAAATAAATACAGTAAATTATATTTAAGAGGTTCTCAGATTAATAGCTACAAACTAGATAATGATTTAATTATAAGGTTGAAACTTTTATAATAGCACCATCATCTAATAGCATCTACCTTAATTTGTTAAAAAATTGGTTTATTTCAAGTCATTGGAGAAGTCCAAAAGGAAAACAAAGAGCGAAATCTATTTTAACTATTGGCTAATGGGACATTGAAACCAAATTCTGTCCCTATTTATCTGCTAAGAATCCTGTTTCAAAGATACAATCATGAAATAGAACAGTATTTTTTCTCTTAGTTTATGGGAATTGAATCAAATTGTTTTTCCAAAAACATATTTTCTTATTTGGATGATAAGAGGTTTTTCAAGAGCAGTGAATACTGCCATGGTTTGTTATTATCCGGATCCCCGTGTGGCCGTGTTTAATTGTGCCTCACATCAGTAATTACAACCCCATCAACCCAGGTTACCAACCGGCTAGGAATCAGTATTGTCTCTGATAGTTTTATAAAGGCATTCCACCGACTGCATTTGCCTCAGTAAATAGCGGAAAAAGTGGCTCAGCGCCTGTGGCTCAAGTGGCTAAAGCGCCAGCCACATACACCTAAGGTGGCGGGTTCAAATCCCCAGCCCGGGCCCGCGCTACAACCAAAAAATGGCCGGGCGTTGTGGCGGGCACCTGTGGTCCCAGCTACTTGGAAGGCTGAGGCAGGGGACTCGCTTGAGCCCAGGAGTTGGAGGTTGCTGTGAGCGTGATGCCATGGCACTCTACCCAGGGGGGATAGCTTGAGGCTCCGTCTCAAAAAAAAGAAAAAAAAAATAGCGGAAAAAGTGTGGGCTTTGTAAGATAATGGAATCAGGTCTTTGAAGTTTGGCCCTTAACATGTTTAACCTTTCATTTTAGGCACTTTATAATCAGTATTTACAATTTAAAGAAACAGAAATTCCACCAAAAGAGACAGAAAAATCCAAAATCAAACGCCTGTATAAATTATTAGAGGTAAGCCCCCGTTTCCTTTGTACTGTGAAGCACTCTCCTCGTTGTTGTGCTGTTTTCACATCTTTGCTTCACATTAAACTTTTCTGTTTTCTCAAGATTTGGATAGAATTTGGACGCATCAAACTCCTTCAAGGCTACCATCCAAATGACATAGAAAAGGAGTGGGGGAAACTCATCATTGCCATGCTTGAGAGGGAGAAGGCCCTTCGTCCAGAGGTGGAGAGGTAGGCGGGCGTTTGTTACTGTGGGTCTCAGTGGAACTTGTTTAGAGCCAGGCAGGCCTTGGACCCTAGTTTACCTCTTGTATTTACTCAGCTGTGTGTCCTTGGAGAAGGTACTTAGTCTTAAAGATCCTTAATTCTCTTATCTGGAAACTCTTACAGAAGGCTTTTAGGAATAAATCAGTGAAGTAAGATGTATGTATATGTGTGAACTAAATTACCGGTCCTGTCTCACATGGGCCTAAACTTACCAGAGCCCAGATTTGGAAGCTTGTAAGTCACTAATTAACATATTTTGTTCCTTGTTACACTTTTGGCTAGGGCCCTCTGTCCATAGGAGAGTAGAAACCCAAATCTAGCTGGGGTGGTGTCTAGAATGCTCTCCACAGGTGTCAGTTCAGTGACCTTCCTGCCACACTTCTACAAACACACTGATTCCATGAAATCCTCACTGCCTCTTCAACATTCTCTCTTGATCTACCCAGTTGCCCAGGAAGGCACCCTTAGTCTTGAGGGAGCATTAGTTAGGTGAATTTGTCCCAGGGGCGGTGCTTGCCTCACAGCCTGGGGTGTGGGACTTGGGTGTCCTGATCTGTGTTGCTCATCAGCCGTCAGGGCCGCGGGCCTGGCCCTTCCCGTGTGAAGCCTGTGGCATCAGGCACACCTCTCAGCCTCCTGGACTGTCTGCAGAGCAGCCACACTGTCTGCTTTTCTCCCCAACTCCCTTTACTCCTAATCCTCCTGAGACCTCAGCTCCAACATCACTTCCTTGAGAAACTTGCTGTGGTCCCAGGCCAGTTAAGGTGTGTTGCTTAGAAAGCTCCTCTTTACCCGTGTTGTCCCTTCACGGTGCTCATTTTATATTAATGTTTATTTCTGAGACTGCTGGATTAAAGGCTGCCTGTTCCCTGATTCCAACTCCGAGAATCTGGAGACAGCCGCCTGCTCTTGGTGTGCCTTGTGTTGCTCACGCCCAGCACAGTGCCTGGTCCACAGCAGAGTCAAGTGCTGTGCCTCACACGCCGACTTCAGCACTCTTGGAATATGAAACAGTGTGCTGGAGATGTGACAGCAAGTCGAGCTTGTCAGTTCCTTTATTAAATTACTAATTATGCTTTTGTTAGAACATAATGTTATATCTGCATAACTGGATCATTAGAATCAAATGGAACTTTTGATGGTGGGGGTAATTTCCAGAGATTAAAATGAGACACTAAGCCAATCATCCGAAGTAATGGAAAAGTGTAGGTGTAGATACAGAACAGATTTGTAGTCACCAGAACAGTAGCCGGATTTTATTATAATATATGCTAAATAAAGAATGCAGAGAGTGGTAAAGAGTTCAGGGCCCAAGATCCACTCAATCCTAAATTAGAATATTAGTTCTCTTGCAAATTAGGTAACCTTAGATAAGTTCTTTAACTCTCTAAGACCTAGTTTCTTCATTTGGAAACAAGATGTGATAACAGCTGCCATGTGTAGTGGTTATGAATATGAGGAGAGGTAACATATATCAAATGATTAATTTCCTGCATATAATAATTGCTTAATAAATATCAGATACTGCTATTATTATTTTGAGCAGTGCTATTTACTCACTATATTTGACATGATGCTGTCAAAATTTTCCCTTTCTTCTGAAAAGAAAAATATCTATCCCATTTGATCCTGCAATCCCATTACTGGGCATCTATCCAGAAGGAAAAAAACCTTTCACTATAAAGACACTTGCACTAGGCTGTTTATCACAGCCCAATTTACAATCGCTAAAATGTGGAAACAGCCTAAATGTCCTTCAACCCAGGGATGGATTGGCAAGCTGTGGTGTATGTACACCATGGAATATTATTCAGCCATTGAAAAAAATGGAGATTTTGCAACATTTGTACTAACCTGGATGGAGGCAGAACACATTATTCTTAGTGAAGCATCACAGGAATGGAGAAGCATGAATCCTGTGTATTCAACTTTGATCTGAGGACAATTAATGACAATGACATGGTGGGACATGGGGGAGGGGAGAGCAGACAGAGGAGGAGGGAGGGGGTAAGGGAAAGGAAAAGAAGAAATAAAAAAAAGAAAAGAAAATAGTGACTAATTCTCACATAAATTGGATTTAATTTATTAAACATGAATTTACTTAATTCATTACTTAAACATTACTTAAACATTAATTTTTAATTCAACTTGTTAATATGTTGTTTAGGATATTGCATCCTTATTTATAAGTATAATATGTTTGTAATTTCCCCTTTATAGTAATATATTTTCTCCAATTTTAATATCAGGTATATCCAGATTAAGCAGAATGATTTTGAAGTATTTCTTCTCTTTCTATTGTCTATAAGATTTGGCATGATCTGTTTTTTGAAATATTCTTCTACTTTTATTTATAAATATTAGTTGTCTATTTTTTGAGACTTGGGAAAAAAATAATGAGAAGAAGTTAATGACTCCATGCTGAACCTCAGAATCAAAGCATTCTAGAATAGACATACTCTATCTGACAATGTGAATGTGACTTTCTTTGCATTATTATTATTGCTTAATATTTCGATGCAGCAATCGTCTGATTTCTTTTCTGAGTGTATTTATCTTTGTTCGTTCTTTATGAGGTTTT